ATTGTTAATAGCATTACAAAAGTTGTTAACTGTTATATTAAAGTTGTAAAAAAATTTTTTAAAAAAATTCCGACCGACGGAGCTCCGGTGACCAATTGTCGGCTGGTTGCCGGAGCTCCGATGACCGCCGTCGTTGGAGGTCCGGTGACCGGCTGGCCAGTAGGAGCTGTGATATTTTAAAAATAATATTTAAAATGAAGGGCAATTTGGTCTTTTCCTTTCACATATTAATCCCAATTTGGTCTCATGGTACCAAAATGGGATTTCTTGAATTCAGCGGACGTTTCTGGGCTTCTGAAATTAAAGGTGCATTTTTCTGTCTTTTTCCCATGTTAAAAGCTATTTGACATACTGTTTAAAAATACTTATAAATATGTTTTATATAAATAGAGATAATATTTTTTTATATACTTATCTTATATTCTCTAAATCATAATTAAAAAATTACTTCTCAATTATTTTAAACATCTTAAGTCAGCAATAAAAATGCAGGTGGCTGTAAGATATCTCATCCCCCTCCCACTGTTTCTCCAATATCTTTCCCATTCTCCAACCCCTGCAATATATTATTTTAAACTACTGATGAAGGTGCGTATATAAATGGGGGAAAAAAACCTTCGTTGTAATATTAATAATATGGACTAAATCAGTATTAATGAGCACTAGACTGCAACTAATGGATACATGAAGTGATCATTCTTAACGTTAAAGAAATTATTCTTTCCATATTCTCTTTTCTATCCTCACCTTTTATTAAAATATCTTGAAGGCTGGGGTTTTGGGTTTAAGTTCGTCTTTAATGGACCGAATTATTTGATTTGGAAGTAGAGGATCTCCTTGGTCAAATTAATCTCCGTCAATGAGAGAATCAAATCACCATTAATTTTTGTGAGGGAATTAAGAAATAAGAAAAGTACTCCTCATGTACTTAGTATATGACTAATTATTCAGTTGATTTTGATTCTAAATATAAGACTTATTTATCATATTTATCAATTTTTTTTCTAAATTATCCCTATAGATTTTCCTCAATCATAATCAAGTAGAAGATACAGAGAGGATATTAAGGAAGATGATTATAGTGTTTTGGGAAAAACATGTTATATTTCTTATAATTAACTAATACCTAACTTCCTTAATCTAATCAAATTAGTTAAATAGGTCTTATAAAGGACCGGAAGAGTAACTTATTAGAAAATTAGTCAAGTATCAAGGTCATAAATTGAGAATTGAAGGAAAATCAATCAGGCATTAATTTCTTGATTGTTAATTGAAGAGCAGTCAGAAAATAATCTTGCGAAGACTACGCATTCTTAAATATAAGTTAGCCTGATCTCATAAATAAAAGCTTGGTCCTCTCTAACGTTCTTCTCATTCCAACTATAGAGTTTTTCGGTTATTTCTTCTTAGTGTTCATGCTTTGCGACTATTATTGCAATCAAAGCCACGACTCATAATACATCATTGACCATTCTCTTGCTTTGTAACAACAAAAAAAAAAAACTGTCTCAGAAAAGTTTGGATAAGCAACACTGGGAATAATATTACAACAAGTTTGGAGTCGAACGTTCTTGTGAAGATTATCACTGAGACTAGTAAATACATTAGGAAAAAAATGTGAGGAAAGAATTAAATATTGATTATAACTAGCTACACCTTCATTCTTTGTATTATTATTCTGAAAAAATGTGTGTATTATTAAAATAAATTTTATTTATTATTTTAGCCCTCATTTACAAATTTTATTCAGTTAAAACAAATATAAAAGACTTCGTTAAAATTTTAACTAATATTTTTAACACATTTTTGTTACAAAAATTTATAAACATATTTAGTCAAGTATATATATTTTAACACATTAGTTAAAACTTTAACTAATATTTTTAATACATTACTTTCAATTTCAAGACGCATCAACAGCCAACTGAGAGACTTACAGGAGGATCCTCCTCCTCCTGTAGGGATGGATTCATCATTACATCCCATGACTTCAAAACGCATTACTCAAGAATTGAGGAAGCTACAGGAGGATCCTCCTGTTTCTTGTAACGCAGGTATGTTTATCTTCTCTTAATTTTTGTTTCGTATTGTTTTAATAGCTTAAAATCAGCGATTTTGTGCTGTACGTACATGCAGGTCTTGTTGGTGAAGATCTGTTACATTGGCAAGCTACAATTACGGGCCCAGCAGACAGTCCTTATGCTGGGGGTGTATTCCTGCTGAACATCGACTTCCCCCCAATTTATCCATTCAAGGCACTCTATGTAATTAATTCACAACTATTAATTTTGATTAGAGTTCTATTGACTCCTTGTGAATAGGAACTTGTTGCTCTGTACAGGTTTCCTTCGTAACAAAGGTATATCACCCAAACATTGACAGCAATGGAACTATCTGTTTTGACCTTCTTAAACAGCAGTGTCTAACGTACGACGCCTTCTTATGTCTCCTTAGCTAACAAAGCTTGATTATATATATGTAACCAATAGGAAGCGCTGAGTTGTGATGCATGCAGGTGCTGCTGTCAATAGGCGCACTGCTTGTTGATCCAATCCCACATCACCCTTCGGTGCCTGAGATTGCTCGCATCTACCTGAACGACAAAGCCAAGTAGGAGGCTACTGCCCGTTTTTGGACTCAGAAATATGCCATGAGTTCCATTCGAAAAGGACGCAGAAGAGCCGTGTTTTCAATCAAAGCTAATGAATGGAAGAATATTTAGTCGTTGAGGATACATATAAATAAATCTGTCTATTAACGCATTTGGTTTTTTTTTTTTTTTGGGTTGGTGGATTTTATGAAATTTGATGTTAGGTACTCTATTTTCATTCGTAGTTTCATATCACTTCTGCTTTGAGTGATGATGTCTGCCCTAATGATTGTCATTATTTTTTCCCGTATGGAAAACTCCGTCCTATTCTCATCACTTCTATCAAGCTCCTAGTGGCGGGAACATGCACAGGTGGTTTTACGCAAATTTTGCAATTGCTTGGGATGATTGGACATCCAATAAAATCCGATTAGAAAGGTTGATTTTAGACGAGTAAGGATCATGCGCCTTTTCTTTATTTCCCATCTGTTTTGGGTGACAGATACATACACTTTTTTTTTATACAAGATAGATACATACACTACACAAGTGCTTTTATTAGCCTTTTTCTTGCTTCTTGTGGTTGTGCAGTGAGGTTTCGAGAAGCAACCTAATCAGATTTGATGGCCCAAACAACGTCTTTTGGTAATGCAAAATATAATAAAAAGGATGTGAGATTTGTTAACGAAGGTTTATTCATATGGTAAATAGCATCAGTTGATAAGCGAACTCCTCGTGCCGTTTGGTTTAATTTCTTGGCTTTAACGTTAGCGCTGTACTGCTGTCTCCATCCAATATAACCTCATGTTTTCGCTTCTCATGTTCCAAGTTCCAAAAAATATTTTAAGTACCAGACCTACTATCAATCCGAAAAAATTATTATTCAACTCGATTGAATCAGCGTTGGTGTCGGATATATAATAATTACATAAAAAATAAAGTATATAATAGTACATAATAAGATGAAAGCAAAAATACTAAATTATTATCAATATTAATGAAAGTAGTATAAAAATTATAAATTGATTCGCATGGATACTTACCTTAATAATTAGTTTATTTACTAAATTAATTATTAACAAAAGCCTGGCGTCGTATTGATAAGCATTGATGTGAGTCTTTTTTTACATCATACAACCATCATTGTCCTTTTATGCTTTTTTTTTTTTTAAGTGCTTGGTCCTTCCTCAATCTCGAATTATTTTTAAACTGCGGTGAAATCAAGTATTCTGATTAGCCACAATCACTTGGTAAATCAACCAGATTGACGTAATTTAAGAATACCTGTGAACAAAGAAAAAAATTATCTAATGGTCGACTAAATTAGAAATTCGATTCTGAATTAATAAATGTGAGTCAATTAAACACCGATAAATTACCAGCTTCGATCTGTCTTGATGATCTGGCGTCTTGGTTTGAGATCTTTGATGCGACGGTGGTGTTTTTCTTGGTTCCTATACTGTTGGTTGCTATTTGGTTAATGTCTTCTTGGCTATTTTTTAGAGCTTCTGTTTATTCGCTAACACTTCAGTTTATGGGTTCTTTTTTTCACCAAACCATATTACGTTGGAAACCCCATATACTGTGCATGTGTTGCAATGATCCCAAAGCCTATCAATATTGGCTTTCTGCGGATCAAAGTAGAAGTCATATATAAAAATGAAAAAGAAAAAGAGACGGTTCATGATGACATGTGAATCTTTAATTTGTTTTCATTTCAAAGCTGGCCGGATAAACAGCTTCACATTTCTTTAACAGCTGCCCCTAATATTTGATAAAATAGATGTCTTGTCAAACAGCTTCGTATTCCTTTAAGATTGAAAACAACAGCTTATTTTGGCATTTCCCTTGTTTGATCTATGGTGGTCCTTTTAAATATGTCTGGAGAGCATTATTAATTCAGTATCAGAATCTCTGATTCAGCACAGTATATCCCATTCATCATCTTTTGCTGTTTCCACATAAATAATGCATAGGTAAAAACTAAAAAATCAGTAGCATGCAAATACAGTTCGTGTTTAAGTTAACTTTTAAACCTCAGTTTACTGATCCATTTATATATATATATATATATATATATATATAGGCTGTTGATTCTTTCTTTTTGGGGCTGAGAGTGGCTTTTTTGTCTGTCATATTGCATTGCATTACAATTATTTAGAAAGATGCAAATTCCTTCTTTGTCTGTTCAAATTTCACGGTTGGCTTCTTCTATTGTTTAGTTGCGGCAGCTATTTTTCACGCACATTGCTGGTTTTCTAAGGCTGCAGTAGTCCACAGTCTTGTGTTTACATTAACATGGATTCATCCTTCCATGTAAAAGGGAGAAAGGGGCGATTTTCATTGACAGTCTTTAATGACTTTGTAGTTGATTCAAGAGGAAACTAATCCTCAGGCTTTCAGGGGATTCATGGAGAGAATGAATTCATTGGCACCATCAACTTGCATAAACCATCAGACGGATTGTGATGTTGAGAGTGAGACTGTTTCGGAGGCAGGAGATATTGGGGATCGAACCCTTCATACCTCTTCAGATTTCACACCTGAAAATGGAGTTGTTTCTATTCCAGGCGATCAAAAGTTGCAGCCAAGTCCTGTGGCATTAAGTTCTATCTCCATTGGAAAGCCATCAGCACAATTAGTGACCTCTCGTTACAGTAATGGAAAAGGGGGTCCTGAACACATAAAGGTGAGCCCAATTCACCAATTTTTAAGTCAGTTTTCTTGTTGCTATTTTAATAGATTATTCATAGTCTCGTCTCTACGTGCAGGAACACGATAAGGGGTTACCAAATATACTGGATTATGTTTCATGCATGATTCATTTAGCTGCTTTTGGAATTCTTGGGGTAATTTGCTAACCTCTAACTTGATAGAATTGGTGTTGGCTCTTGTGAGCTTCTGCTGTAATTAATTATTGCTTGCTTTTGAGAGCTTATGGCAATTTTCACTTGTTCTGAGAATTATGGAATTTTCGCTTCATGGGCCATAATTTTTCATCCTGATTTTCTTTATCATCAATTTCATTTTGGCATATGCAATTATTAGGCAGATATTGATATGCCATTTCCCCACAAAAAAAAATACAGGTCCTCACAAGATACTTGCTGCAAAAGTTGTTTGGCCCCGATGGAGCTGGTGTGACAAGTGACCACACTATTCTTTACCTGGATCTGCCTTCCAATATGGTCTCTCCCTGAGACACCCTTTCCTCTATCCTTCCATCATGCTTTGATATTTATAAGCCTCGGATGCTGCTGAAGTTCTATGTTTATAAAAGAGAACAAGACAAAAAGCCAGTACCTTGCTCAGCATTTCGTTTCCTAGATTATGCGCTGATAGCCTGATACAAACTTAATATTCCATTTAGGTCGGTTCTTTTTTGATGGGATGGTTTGGCGTAGTATTCAAGGGGCACATATCCCGTGTGTCAGAGCATCTCACAATTGCAATAACAACTGGTTATTTAGGGAGCCTTACGACCTTTAGTGGTTGGAACCAGAAAATGGTTGAACTTAGTGTTGCTGGACACTGGCTATTCTCCGTGCTTGGTTTTATAATAGGTAATGACTAATGAGATGCATTTGATCAGTGTATTTAGTGGTACTAATCATCTCATTTTCACCTAAGCATGTCTAAGTTGATGGACAAATTTATATATAAAAAAATGGATTTTGCAGGCTTGTTCCTTGTTGGTTTTTCCATCATATTTGGAATTGAGACAGCCAAGGGGTTCAAGTGGCTTATCAGCAGGCTAAAGATGAGATCAAGAACTGGCTCTTGTAATGCTGAGATAAGCAGAAAAGTGCACAGTTACAAGCGACAGTTGGCAGTTATGGCAGTGTGCTTGGTGATGTTAGGCTTCTTGTGGGGTCTAAGTAGTACGTTGGTGAGGTCCGAGTTCAAGCATGGACACAGTGGGGCTGAACCATGGCTGGCATGCCTGGTCGGTCCTTTAGGTGTGTGGATTAGGTGGTTCTTAGCTCGACTCAATGGGCGTGGCGTGGGGAGGGCAAGGCTGCTGATATGGATTCCATTTGGGACTCTGATTGCCAATGTTTCTGCCGCTTGTGTAATGTCTGCACTCGCTACTGTAAAGAAATCAGTGAGTTCCTTCTTCTTTTGTCTTACCACACAATTTGCTGTCAATGAGAATGTTTGAATACCACCTTGACTCTTGGAGCTCATATGCTGACGCAGGCGAACACCTGGAAATGTGACACTATTGTGACAGGCATTCAGTTTGGGCTGTTGGGTTGTCTGAGCACTGTCTCAACCTTTGCTTCTGAGTTCAACGCCATGAGAGAAAGCATGCAGCCTTGGAGAGCATATGCCTATGCTATGATTACCATATGCGTCTCCTTCTGTTTTGGGATCTTAATATTCTGCATGCCTGTGTGGCAAATGTCGTTGGCGTAAACTTCTGAGGGTAAAATATCCTCATTTGCACGATACCTATCATGATAGCAACCATGCGCTCTCACAGCGTATAGGGTAATGATCCATTTAGAAAGCGTCAAAGCGATGACAGGTGACGATCATCTTCATCATGGGTTTAGTATTCGAAGCCTGACAGAAAAATGTTGTACTGTCTTTGAGTAGTAGTGAAAATATACCACTAGAATCTCGCTTTTGAAATTAAGATGCGCGATTGTATGGTGAATATCGAAACTGATAATTAGTAAACAAGGAATATAAGTATATCTCATTAATTAAACAGCGAAATTTCATGCAAGAGACTTAATTTCAGCGAAGCCAATATTGTTAAAGTTTTCTCTTGGTTTGGATGAAATTAACGTCCTATAGCGGGAGGCTTTGGGTTGATAATTCAACGCAAGGAGGGAAAATAGGATCCCTGCCGCCCGCAATGACAGTGGGATCATCCTTCTCATTTGGGATCCTAATACAGTGCGTCCGACCATAAACCCTTTCCTTCCCTGTTACTTAAGGACGTTCCGTTTTGGGATAATTATAACGAGGTTTCAAAAAAAATAATTACCAATATTGAGTAGTTGTCATTTTCTATCATGAAATTTATCACTGGAAATTGTTTTATTGTTATTGGGATTTTTTAGTAGTAATGTTCTTTTTTTGAAACTTCATAACAATTCTCCCTCTCGTTTTTACACCACATCATCGTTAATCCACACCATGAATCCTTCTCATGCACCCTAAGAATAATTTTCTAAAATGATAACTCTAGAAACTCGTTGTGCTAATTATGCAAGTAGTTGCACCAAAAATTTTGAGTACCAGTAAATGGCTTAATTGAAGTTACACGTAACATGAAGGCACTGATTGATTAATCTTTCCATTATTTTCTTGGACCGAAAAAAGTAAAAAAATCTTTACATTATTTTCTTGTTCTTCCTCAGTAAACATAAGAGAACCTGCTCTCGAAAGAGTCGAGATCGCACACTGCCAACGCTGGCTCCGGAATAAAAAACGTCATCAATCCCCTCTCAAGAAATATTGGCCAACATATTACTCGGTTCATCGGTTGGATCATTTATTACTAATAATCAACTTGCCAATATACCTGACATAAATTTCTGAAAAGACGTCAACATTTCTAGTGAACTTGGTTAAGGAGTTGAATTTGAAAAGCCAATCAATTAGAGAGCAAGGGTCAAGTGTTGGACCTCGAAACAGTCCAGCTCCCAATTAAGAAGTAACTAAATCCATGAGAAACACAACCCATCAGAACACAACCGAAACGTTAACAAGAAGGTGTGATTTTTATACTCTTACTGGGTCGGACAAAGTTATAAAGTATACGCATTGTTGGTTAAATTTCTTGATATACACAAACTTTTTTTTGTTTTGGTAGAAATGCATAGATAAACTCCACAATGGCACTTCATAGGCATGTTCAAAGAGTTCAACTCCTGATACTTATAGAGACAATTTGGGCAAGATAACTGTTGAATCCATTTGAACCACCTACAATACTCAGCCACAGCAGGAGCCACAGGCAGGCAGAGAACCTGTAAGTCCAATTCGGGGAAGCCCAAATAAATTGGTTAGCACAGACTCGGAATAGAAGTTGAGCTGCAGCAGATGCATCCATATGTCCAAGAAAGAGAGGAATAACGAAAACATGTACTTACTATGATCAGCCCCCCTAACGCTGTCTAGTCCACGAACATTGTCAAGACCACGGCGAGGAGGACCCCGTGGACCGCCACCATACGGTCCCCCAGGACCTCCAGGGCCACCACCATCCCATTTCTTACCGGAACCAGAACCTTTTCTGTAGGCATCTGACTTTTCCATCTAGAGATGATGGCATTATGAGCTAGCATTAATTAAAGGCAATATAGAATTCTTATAATTCTAAAAAAGAAAAATAACATAAATTTTAACATTACCGAAAACATTGTTGCAAAAAAACTCCTATGAAGTTAACAATAGCCCAGAAAAAATCAGTGATTGTTTTCAGACGCCATATTGATCTCTTCGATTTAACAACACCTGCAAAAAATTGTATCAAGTTCTTTGTAAGGTCCTTTCATAACGAGTGAGATGATAATGTAGAATGCAATTTCAAAATGTTCTTCCGAAGTAACCAGACAATGCATCCAAAAGGGGGCAAGGAATAGATGCAGATACGTAAAAAAGGAGTCATGTAAAGTTATCACTAACAACTGGATCAGCAACATCACCAGAAAACAGAGGCTTACAGGAAAAACGGCATCAAGAATTAAGTGGTTCGCTGATGCAAAACTCAGCTGACAATATATCAAAATTTTCACACATAAAACATTACAACTTGAAGATTTTGATTTTGAAGATCAAAGTGAGTCTCTGTTGCATGCAAGCGATGTGCAGCACTATCTGATCAACTGCTAATCCCAACCAAAGAACATCAAGCAAGATAATACCTAGGCCCAGAGCCAGGATAAATATGGACTGCTTGATGGCCCACTTTTCTGTACGCAATAGATTTAAAATTTCGCCAATATGATCCTCAAAATAAAACATTCCAAAATACGCCTGACCAATTGTAGGGCTGTAACAATAAAGGTTTATGTCTAGTGGTTATGAATCTGCACCACTTCCTTGTTAGCTTGTATGCATGGATGTATTTGCAGAGGTAACTTATTTGCCGATTCAGAAATCACATCAAGTCATCAATGAAGAAAGACAAAACTTGAGCAGAACTAAAAGCAACAACTAAGAGTCATTGGATTGCAAATTTAAGACAGCTAGAAGTGCGGGAATATCTATCAGAATTCACATAGCATGTATCCCGTCACAGATTGCAGTTAAATACATCAAATCGGGGATAAGCAATGGACACCGCATAGAATAGAATCCTAGCACAGCAGCGTTTCATAATGCTCATTATGATATCTAATCCTAACATTTGAAAGCTTCTTTTGGGGTGGAGAATGAAGGAGAGGAAACCAAAACGTATGAAGGATATCGTTCCCCAAGAACATATTGAACATCTACCTCTATGAGAATCTAGTTATTAGCCGCTCAACGATCAGAAATAGATAATATCAGTGTAAAACAGTAAAACCTTTATCATACGCCAATTAGTGGCATCAGAATTGTACTCTAAGTTTCAGCTAGATTTCAGGAGACAATGAAAAAACCGACGAAGAGGAATCAAAGCTGCCTTCTTCAACTCGGTTGATTGCCCCAAAAGGAAAAACAGAAGTTCTTTCTAATCGTATTCCCCAATCATAAAACATCAACTAAATTGCAATTGATAGAGACAACGGGGTAAATTACACCGGAGATTGAGATCAAGGCTCCAAGGATTGCAATAAAGCAAATAAAACTTATTACACAAATAAACCAATACCCACATACCGCCATGAAAAGAAACAAAATTGGGAGGAGCAAAAGAGGAAAATACCTCGCTCGACGTAAGCCATGGTAGATTCTCCAACGCAGGACTTCTGCTATTGAAATTGGAAATAATTTTCGCTATTGATCTCTTATTATTTTCAGATGGAGCAGGGGGTGGGGAGATCGTACGAGAAATTCGACGTCAATGGAAGAGGGTTCCAGATTCTAATTGGCTATCGCCACGTAAATTCAACTGGAGGTACAGGTGTCCCTCTTTAATTGGAAGATGAATGAGTCCCTTGCGGTCAAGTCAAGATGAGAGCGTGTCCTATTTGCTTTTGGGCCAATGGCCCAACAATGCTCGATCTCCGTAGAGTAAGCGCTAATCAGTTTGTTTTTTTTTTTAATATATACTCCTCCGGTCCTTATTATAAGACCCCATTTGACTTTTTATTTGGTCCTAATCATAAGACCCCAATCCATTTTGTCTCTTATATTTATGCATTTTTTTTCAAGATAATCCTTCTAATAATGATAGTTTTAGCCAATATACTTAATTAGCAAGGATATTTTAGGAATGACAACATTTATTTATTATAAATAACCAACTTAACTCACTTCCTTAATCTCCTCAAATAAGTCAATTGGGTGTTATAATTAGGACCAGGAGGATACATACATACATATATATATATATATATATGCTTATTTCACCGTTTTTTATATGCCGTAATCGCCAATCGGTAATCACAGATCAATCAGAATTTCGGACAAATTTAACAATGCGCAGTGTTTTAAAAATATCAACCAATTTGTAACTGCTCAAAGGAAAACAAATTAAAACTAATACTTCATACCACGCAATTAAGTCTCGTTTTTTTTCTTACAATAAAAATTTCTAATGACTGAGATACAAAATTAAGGTATAAAATTTGCAACTGTAAATATTGAAATTTTAATAACAAGAATATAAATTTGAAAACAAATTAATAGTAATAAAAAAAAGGAACGGGATTGGGTGAAAAATAAAAGGGCCTCTGAATTTTATAACCTGAATCATATCATGAAAGGGGGTCCTGCCTTCTCAATTTCATATCATCTTGGACGAAATAATTTCGAATGAACATGGAAAAATCAGAATCATGAAGACCTCCGAATCCTAAACGGAATTAAAACTCCGCAGATCAAAGCTTAAGGTCTTCATATCAAATATAGGAAAAGAACACGGAACCAAAAACATTAAGACAGTAATACAGAATTCAGCGGCTCTGATCCAAGAAAAGAGGGTGGGGCAGCCAATGCCTAATAACCTTGTTCATTGAGTTAATTAAATAGGGAGAAACATGACCTCTCGTGGAAACATAAAGTTCAAGTAATCAGAACCAGGGTAAATTATCAACATAGATTAAATACGCAAGAATGAGAAATTCAAGTATTTCAGTGGACAGTTGGACACCCGATTGACTTGTGATAAACTCGTTCTTCACTACATGACTATCTTACAGAAGAGAATAAGAAGTGCTCTTACAGAAGCAGCAACCTCCTTATAGCAAGATGTAAGAACCACAGTAGAGGATTCTGTACAATTACAATGGCGTCCACAAGAACTAATATAAGCAGCAAGGGTTCTGAAAATATGCAGAGTTGGAGATCTTATCTAGGTCCTGAGATATCTTGTGAAGAAATGTAAGAAAAAGCAGTTTGAGAACCACTAGTTGTAGTTGAAGGTTTCTGTGCTTGTTTATCGCTATCACGCTAAGCCTCCTTCCACTACGCCCATAAAAGCGCAAGAAATTCAAGATTCAGATTCAATCCTCGGCTGGGCCAGTGGAGTCCCACCTTCCAACATGCCAACAATGGCAGCCATATTTGGCCTCAGCGACGGTTCTTCATGAACACAGCACAAGGCTATACGCACTAGTTTCTCCACCTCCTCATTCGAAACACGCCCTTCTAGTCTTGGGTCGGCCAATTCAAGGTGCCTACCTTGTTCATGCATCTCTAAGGCATGTAGTGGAAAATAAACCAGTCCTGTCCTAGATGACGTCCCTGAATGGCCACTCATACTATCGTCCTTGCTAGGGATTTCTGACCCCGGAGAACAATTTTTTCTTCCGCTCACTAGTTCAAGCAGTACCATTCCAAAACTATAAACATCAGTCTTCTCTGTGATTGCAGAGTTAGTAAGCCACTCTGGAGCTAGATAACCACGCGTGCCTCTCATTGTTGTGAATAAACCAGACTGCTCGGGGCTGAGGAGTTTCGAGAGTCCAAAATCAGATATCTTGGCCTGAAAGTGGTCGTGCAGGAGAATATTCTCAGGTTTGATATCACAGTGAATGATCTTCTGCTCACACCCGCCGTGCAGATAGGCAAGTCCACGCGCTGTTCCAAGTGCTATGTCGAACCTCTCTTGCCATTCTAAGACTGGTCCACCACCAAAGAGGGTGCGATCCAGGGAGCCACGATTCATGTACTCATAAATCAACAAACGCTGTCTTCCTTCAGCCAAAAGCCTTTCAGTTTGACCAAATTAACATGGTGAATATTTCCAATAATTGCAATCTCAGTGCAGAAATCCTTTTTCCCTGATTTCCCATATTTACTATTTTCTTTACCGCCACAACGGTCTTATCAGGCAGTTGTCCCTTGAACACCGCACCAAATCCACCTGAACCGATTAAAGTCTTAAAATTATCGGTAGCCTCCACAAGTTCTCCATAATCATACCTTTTAGGTAAACCTGGAATATAGAAGGCCTCCAAGTCCTCTGAAGAATGTGATTTGAACTTGCCTAATATTACCTCTTTTCCCTTGGAGATTCTAAATCTTCTAAGCCAGAGGAAACCGAGAGCCAGAGCAATAATGAATCCAGCAAGAGGTATTAGCACCAGAGCAGCCACAGGAAGCCCCTCTTCTTCAGAAGCAGGCTCATCAATAGCAGATGCAGCAATAACTTTTATGTAGCCCAGCGAGTTACTTGCACCTCCACTGCTCGACATAATAGAACCCAACTCATTTTGAAGCATATAGCAGGAGCCAGACGAATCTTCGTAGAAAAATCCCAAGCACGAACAATTCCATGAACAGAGGTCTTGGCAAATAGTTAAGTTCACTACATCTATTACGGTGTTAGAGTAGGTATTGCCAAAGTACTCCATACCATCCCCGAGTTTCAAATACGAAACAGCTGAAGAATTTGATGCACCATCATAGACAGATGAATTACACGCAGATGGCAAAGAATAAGAACCATCGCTTGGTACACAACCCGGAGCATTCCTTGAGCCTGCATGGAAGTTTGGGGGACAAGAACATGTAGGTGAAGAGGACGCAGAGCCATAAGTACATAATCCTAATCTGCCACAAAAAAATGGAGTCTTACAACCATCGTCTGGCCCCACAAATTCCTGGACCCAATCAGTACCGGAAAAGCTTTGGACAGTAAACTGGCCATTAACAGCCAATTTGGCAATTCTGAAATCAGCCGTGGGCAAGAGCACCCGAAACACAGTCACTGTTCCGTTACTTCCAAGGAGATCAAGAGCTGTTCTGTTTATAGCCATATATTCCACCCTATCATTTGAATTCTTAAAGGCTTTTGTGGCCATCGACAACCTCCAGTATGTCTGTCCATGCCACTGAAGTATTGCATCAGATGGAGTGATACTCAAGTTGTGATCCCCAGTTGACAAGTCAGACCCTGATGTCGCACTCGACAGCCATGCCCCAACAGGTAAGCGCTGTCCAATGACAATTGTGTCTGTCGGGTGCTGGAAACTCTCCCAAAGAGAGCCATTGGAACGATCAAGTAAGAGGAGATTGCCCGTTTCAGTAAGTTTTAATGCGGATACTGGTGATTCCAATGGTGGGGTTGACCATTTGAGGTTTCCATCACGATCAAAAACGGTGATTCCTTTGACAGTCAGATACATCGTACCAGAATTTGAGATGGGAGCATCACAATTGGCCGACCAAATGATTGTGTGGGATGGCACATGTATGACGGACAGGTAGAATCTGGATTGTTGATCTCCAGGATTGAATATAGCAGCCTCGAATGTTCCATTACGGGATGACAAGAAGGTGCCAGAGCCGTCAATGAATTGAAGATATGAAGCAGTGAAATTTGGGCGGATGGATTCCGAGAAAGTGTAAGCGGATATGGCAGAAAAGAAGAGAAAAAAGAGAGGGAAATAAAAGATAGACTCCATCATGTGGTTTGAGGAAATGCAGAACAACGACTGGGAAGGAATGGGTTCGTTGAGAAGACAACGAAAGAGAATGGAGTTGATCTGATTGCGTGTTCTCCATTTCTTTTCCCCTTTTTTTTAATATGTTTCGGCTGGCCACCCAGTTCTCCGTTGACCGATGAAGCTCCTGGCCTGTCTACACCTCCTCTTTCAACCAGATTGATTCCAAATTCCAATTGATGATCAAAGATGAAGATTAATAAATAGATTACTACTTGTGGGGTGATTAAGTGAGATAGGAACTTGAGAATAAAAATTTCTGAGCTGACGAGTCAAACCTCTCGGTGAGTATTATCTGTTCTCTCTCGAGTAATTAGTGCAGTCATCTATGACCCGACAGCTCAACGCCATATCTGTATTATAGTATTCATAATCATTCCACAGTACTCCTCCGGTCCTAATATAAGACCCAATTTATTTGAAGATTAGAAGTAAGTTAAGTTGGTTATTTATAATCAATAAGTGTCATTCTTAAAATATCCTGCTAATTGTATTGCTAAAACTATCATTATTAGAAGGATTATCTTGGAAAAAATGCATAAATATAAGAAGAAAATGGATTGGGTCTATAATTAGGACCAAATAAAAAGTCAAATTGGGTCTTATAATAAGGACCGGAGAGTAATATCTTTGAAAGCCAGAATCATCATCCTCGAATATATCGTTTTTGACCCCCAAAAAAAAAAAACGAGACAGAAAGAAGATCTTTGCTGACGATCATTTATGTGAGAATTAAGTACTTGCCTACATATTGCATTCTGCACCATTCAAGGGCTCATTTTCAAAATATTCACTTTCAACCTTTGAAAACAAGCAAAAAGCCGCACTGAAACTGGTTCCTCTCTTCCTGTGGAGAAAAACAGTAAGAGAGATTAACAGATGTAATATTTTATACAAGCGAAACGCTTGATAATGGAGAAGGCGTCGGACATCTTTGCCCTCTTGCTATTCCTATTGGCTTGGCGTGCATCGAATCACTGACATGTTGTGTTTTGGCCGACATTGATCTGTTATTCAGTTTTAAATATTTCACATGGAGAGGTGTAGAAAACTTATAAAACAGGCATTATCTTAGCCACAAAGCCCACAAAATGTTTTAGAAATGTTCATAAATGAGCTTGACACGATCACGTTGTGGTTTTATACATGAACGCTGGGATGTATCTGACGCAATGGGAATATTCTTGTATTTTTAAATAGCAACATAGTACACTTCGGCCCTGAAAAAAAAAAAAAAAGTGAACCCATTTGAAATGCACGACTTGGTATGATTTATTTATTTTTTTAATAATGTTGTGAATTCGGATGCGCTGAGTGCAATAATATCACAGAAAATTACACGTTTAAGAAAAAGGAAGTGGTGAATATGGTTCCACGTACACATGCAATAAATATTGGACGGCTGGAAAGATCTGCATCGAATCCAATTGATTACTTATAAAGCAGCATATGGTCAACAACGGAGCATGGCTGGCAAAAATAAAAAATAAAAAATACAACTGTTGGCCCAAAAAAACTAACGCAGCATGGAACATGAGTGTTTTGGGGTTATTAATTTAATAATGTAATCAACAAGAGTTGGGTCTAGCAGAAATGACTAGTTCCTCACAACATGAGAAATCAAGATTCGAATCTTCGAGAGGTGTCCACACTTAATATCTGACAGTAACTCGAATATGATTATCTCTAAAAGGATGCCTATATTTTAGTTAAAAAAAAAATCAATAATGTAAGCATACAAAGAGTGGGCCATTATTTTGGCGGTAGATAGAAGGTCCACCGGATGTGGCGAGGCATGCGGTGGTCGTCAATTTGACAATTTTGCGTATGGCACTAATTAAGACGTTACGGGTCCACGAATTTTATGTTGTTGATGATATATTATTATAAATTATAAATTATACTTCTCTAGTCTTTAATATATAACCTGATTATTGAATTGATTTTTGTCTTAAATATAATATCTATTTATCATATTTATTAATTTTTTTAAATTATCTCCATTGATATACTCTCTCAACCATAATTAAGTAGAACATGGAAGAAGAATATTAAAAAAAATAATTATGATATTTTTTAATCTAATCAAATTAATTAAATAGATTGTATATTAAGAATTGAAGGAATACAAAGGTATGAACTATTGCCATCTCATTTTCACAATGGGTCATTAACTCGATCTAAAAAGTTTCATCCCAGCGAGTTTGGTAGTTGGGACGCCGCAAAAACCGTGTACACCGGAGCATTATGTTGAAAGTCGAATTTTTGAAACAGTGTTTTTATTCTTTTAAAAATGTATGATACGTTCAAATTTGCACCTATAATTATTTTCTAAATGAAACCATAAATCAGAAACTCTTGTTTATCTCGCACGAGACATTTGGAGTAGAAGGATGCCCAAATCATAACATGAGAAAACAAAACAATTTAGTGAGAGAACTTTTTATCACTATTTTTTTAAAGCATATAACACTCATAGCTCACGTCAAAGGTAAAACCCAATACATGCTATTATATTGCTCAGTATCAACATCAGTATTATATTACAAGTGAAGCAGAGAGAAATAATGACAAAGTAATATACCTGACCTGTGTGAGAACCACTTGCATAAAAATAAGGCAACACCCACCGCCTTCTTGTTTTTCTGCTATATTCTGCTTCATCGGCAAAAAAAAAAATCAGAAAATTTGAATATATATATATACGTATATATTCTCATGACATATATGTAAGATTCTTTTTCAAAGTTCCCCACATAAATATCACATCATTTTAAATCCTAATCACGTCCATTTAATGCAGTCCATCTAACAAGTAATGAAAACAAACAGTAATAATTATATTTTGAATTCAGAACACATATTTAACATACATTTTGAAGATAAGATAAAATTTTAAATTAGGAGAAATAAATAGAAACAGAGGAAATAATAGGATCGCGTGACTTTGAGGGGAGAGCAACTGGCAAAGACACAGGATTCTGAATATTTTCCAAAACAAAACAGTAAGGATCTGTTTGGTTTGAGGGGAGGGAGGGGTAGGGAAGGGAGGGGAGATTTTATCTTCACCTTGTTTGGTTTAATAAAAAGGGAGGGAGGGGAGGGTATTTATGATCCCTTGTTTGGTTTAAGGAGGGGAGGGGAGGGATAGTAATAATCAATTTACCATTTTACCCTTACATATTAGTTTATGTTTTTTTATTGATATATTATATAAATTAATTTACATCTTAATTAAAATTATATAATTTAATAAAAATTCAGTCTTATCATATTAATATGTGTATTAAAAAATTGGTATAGTAATTTTTTATTCTAATTAATATAATAATATTTTAAAATAATCAAATTAACAAATTATATGCTCTAAGAAAAATGAAATTTTATTTTCTTTAGGCTATCTTTTTTTCCAGCTTTAAAATATATTAATAAATAATATATTTATAAAAAACAATTAATTTTATATAT